TATGGCCCCAAGGAAGATTCTTGGAAATAATAAAAACAGTCAGTAAAGAAAGATGTTTAAACTATTATAGAAACAGCACATATACTGTACCCAAAACCAAACCAACAGCTGAACGATATCCACACAGTCATAACCTGATCTTTGACGCACTATACAAGCAATATTACCAACAGCACACATCCTCCCCCCTTAAAAGAGGAGTTTGAAAAGTAATGCGACTACTCGCATTACACACCATCTGAGGATTCCTGAGGTTTTGGCAGTTTCATTGCCGAAGCTATACATTTTTTGTTGCGTCCCACCAACTTCTCAAACGTGTGCAGTAGCCCATTTCCAGACATCTTGCGTAGGGCAGCAGCGGTAGCTTGTTTAACTTCAGAGTCATGTTCAAGCGCTGGAAATGCTCAAAAATCACATGGAGCAAGGTCTGAACTGTGGGATGGGCATTTCACAGGTGGTCCATCGATGTCTGGTACCGCCTCCATCGCCACATGCAGGGCTGTGGAGTCAGTATTGAAACCTCTGACTCTGGCTCCTTCTTATAAGCTAAATATGTATTAATATTGGAAAACCTGCTACGATATTAAATGGTACCACAAGAGATTTCATCACCACCAAGTGGATCAAAAGGCTACTTTTTAGATTTATAACCTATATCTAAATACACGACTAATGGTTAATGCAGAAATCAGGTGATTTGTAGACAGTTTGCATTCTTGAGGTGCTGGAGCCAAAGTTACAAAGCATTATTAACACATCATGTGCCTCAATGTGTCGTTGAATCTCACTAAGCGGAAGGCCGCTGGCAGCTGACACGGTGGCGAAAGTGTTCTTAAGATATTATACAGAGGTAGGAGTCGGTACATTTTTACCGACCCCGCAACCCTGGTCACATGTGCAAAATGTGGTCCTGCATTGTCTTGAAGCAGACACCACCTTTTCGTCAAGAACCCTGATCACTCCTTTCTGAATTGCATTCCCCAAATAAGTTTCAAGTATATATCCATAGTAAACACCATTCAAAGTTAGCTTCTGAGGTAGCCATTGCTGAAGAATAATGCCTTTTGGGTCAAAATACAATATCAGCATCACTTTTCCAGATGATAGTGCTTGGTCTCCCTCTTCGAGCACCGTCAACCACCCTTTTGTTTCCATTTTTTGAATGTTTCAAAAACTGAAACATTGTAGCTCGGCTCATTGTTTCTGTTCCATACACATTCTGTAACACCTTTAACGTCTCTTCACCGCTTTTTCTGAGTTTCACACAAAATTCTATTGCACATCTCTGCCTTAAAACATGAAATGTCGTTCTGTTCCACCATTGCAAACCGGATTTTTGTACCAGAGCTTTTACAGACACACACACCTTGGAAAATGATATCTGTATTAATAGCTAAACACACTTGAGGAAACAAAACAGCAAAAGTGCCATCTTGATGAAGGCCACTAACGATGAGCAGTGTTGCCAATCTCATTACTGTTCAAACTCCCCTTGTACATAAATCATATAGCATGACATTATACCATGATACACAGCGCAGTACACTCCTCCATAACAGACGACATATGAAAGCCACAAGACCTAATGTATGTGTTAATGCACCACATCAGTCTTAAATAGATTTAAATATATACACAAATATATGAAATGTTATTTATTACACATATTATTGCAGACCTTAATTACTCCACAGACGTCTATTATCACAGAAGATTGTATCAACAGAGCACACAGCAAGAAGCAAGATACCAAAATGCAGTAAACATATCTACATAGGAGGAACTGCGCCAACCCAACATCATACGAGCATCCAGCCTTAACAGGAAAACACAACAAAGCCACTGACATTTGGAGTTCAACCGACACTAACAGTAACAGAAATGTAATATGAATATGGAATTGGAAATATATTTTTCACTTATACTAACTCAATACAGTAAGAAGAAACACTCAGGCATTTGTATGAATGGACAGAAAAAAAATCTCATCTGAAAGGAAGGCTTACCTCAGTTTCATCTTTCTTTACTGAAGTTCCTGATTGTACATGAACCTCATCTGATACCATGCCAATGGAATCTATTTCACTTTGAACACCAACATCATTTTCGATTTTGATTATACACAGGTTCTGCTGTAAAATTAAAAATAAATTATAAAATTCTGTTAATATCTCAAAAATTGAGGGAAATAGTTGTACTCTGAATAATGCATATGAGCAATATTGTAGTAATATGACGATATTCATGAATGCTTCTCATTACAGCTAAATATAAAAAATATACGTAATTTAAATTCACACAGTGGGTGGTATATCCAGAATTCAATATGGATTTCAACCATAGTATATGTTGAAGGATATATAAGAAGTGAAGGGCACACACAAAGAATTTCACTCAGGTATCCTCCTGTTCTACACATCTCAAGAACCAAACAATATTGTGTAAACACTACAAAGAATAAATAGGGAAATTTGAATTTTATGAAACCAACATTAAATGTAATACACATTCGCATTCCCAATAACCAGTCCAAAATAACTTATGTTCTTCCCTTTGGGAGAGAAACCAGGTTTCACACCCACAAAAAATACAAAGTCTTCAGGAAAAGAACATTGTTGTTACAAATTCCGATATTTGCTGATATACTGCACTGACAATAACTTTGGTGTCATAGAACATGTAAGAGGTTAGAGTATTCTGATCAATTACTAGTGCTTTCTAGGTGGGACATTCAGCAAGCATTAAATAGCAAGCTGCGTACACTAGTGACCAGTGTGTGTTTTGTATAAAACAGTTTATTTTATTAAACTGGAAGTGTTGTATGATTCAGCGCAAGTTTGGAGTACGACTGCAGAGAAACTCCAAAAAGAACAACTATTTAAATGTGTGTGGAAAAGATTGAACATACAATTTCTGGGTTGGCAGTAAGATGTTTGTAAGTATACCAGAAAATACTGCATGTATACAGACAGCACTCATGCGTAGCCAAGGAAAATCTGTAAAATGGCTGCCACAAGAGCTTGGTTTAAAGATTTAAAAAAATCATCCATTTTAACCATATTAAGAAAAGACTTAAAATGTTTGCTTATAAAATTCAGATCCAACAAGCAGTGAAGGATGTTGATGAATATAGCCAAGTCAAATTTTGTGATTCATTTCATTAATATTTAGAAGATGAGCAAACAGTTAATTAACGCATGTTGTTCTCTGTAGCTCAGTTTCACATAAATGGACATATCAATAAATAGAATATCCATATCTGAGGCACTGATGATTCCCAATCAATAATGCAACAAATACATACATAACCCAAATTCAAGTATTTCTTCTTCATGATTTTCCAAGTCACTACGTTCCTCTACTTTTTGAAGAAATTCGATGTAGTTCCCGGAATGGAATCACAATGTCCTCAGAGGCCGGCTCGGAAAGGATGAGACGCATGCGTGGCAACAAGTCATACGTTCTATGAGGTAGTGAACCAGGACAGCCAACTAAAGAAAAACAAATTCATTTCCCATGTTATCTTGTTACGACTACAGATGTCTCTTGGGTCATGCAATTAGCCTACATATGAAAGCGAATGAATGCCTGTAAAATTAGGAGGAAGATATGTATAACAAAATTCAAGAAAAAGAAGGTAAAGTATTTCACTAGTACCAAAAGCGATGAAAAAATGCTATTGCATTACTTAAAACATAAAAAATTATATATGAAAAATATAATAACAATTTACAACACGGAAATGTCTATAGAATATGATCTGCTTGCAGGAGAAAGTGAACGAATTCAATTTCTTACGTACAAAATACATTAAATTATTTCTTCATATTAAGAAGAGAAATTACGGTTCGCAGTGAAGTTACACAAAAACGGGGAATCGCAAATAATGATGATCACACTGGACTGAAATATATCCTTCTAGTGAATGGTCGGTGAATTGATTGTGTGAAAAGTGACGAACAAGAAATACCACTTCGGTCATTTCAGAAGAGCATTTTGCCTCCATCTTCAGGGTTGCAGTAGGGTTTTTGGTAAGCTGTTTAAAGATGTTACTAATTTATTTCAGACTTAGAACATTTCAAGTGCATAATTTTTGTTGCAATGTGAATAAGCAGTCACAGTTCACAGTTTCTTATAGACGCCATGGAACTGTGACAGATCTTTAAAACCTTCAGGCATCAAGAATATAAGAAAATAACAATATTGTTCCTCACCGTTTACTTCTGTATGTTAGCTTAACAGCAAAATCAGGTTACTGCATGTTTCACTGATCATTCTATAACTAAGATCTTTGCTGAAGTAAGTAATAGGCTTTTTCATTGAACACAGCACTACATAGCCTACTTTGAACTATAAGAAGGAAAATGAGATATCAGGCTGTCATGGAGATAAATAAAGAAGTTTGCTATCTTCTTGAGTGTTGCATCACGTAGTCTGGTAGAAATTCACTGAAGTATCAAAGGCGGGAAGCACCTCTGAATTTTAAATCAATTTATACTAGACTATACGTATGGCGAAACATCCCTATTAAAGCAATCTCTATAAGAAGTAAACTTCAATAACTCTCACTTCAGTAAGAGTGGGAAGACATAACAGAATCATCAGAAAAGTTGTCCTTTCCTTGATTACAAATTCAATTACTTAAAGTTTTTCATGACCTTATTTTGTCTTCTTAGTGGATCTGTCTTCTGTGCCTGAAAACAAAAAATTCTGATAATATTTCCTGGTTGGCAGCTCATATCCTAAAGTGAAATGCTTTATGCAAACATAAAAACTCCAAAGTAGAGAAAAATGCACCTCCCCCTGCGCCTTCAATCATGTGGTGAATAAAAAAATATAGTGAAAAAGTCAGCCAAGAAATTCGGCCTATGCAAATTATATGATTCTAATACCTACAGCATGCATTAGTTTTTGGTGTGTGTTATAGACCTCGTCGAGATCTCTACATCTATGGGTTATGTAATATTGGTTACTAGATGGCAGGAGAATACTTGAACAGTTTCTTTGGTTTTCTGTGATTTCACAAACATTGTATATCATTGACGATTGTATGCTCTCCGCTGAGAATAGTGAAGAAGGAAATGGCAATTTTTTTCGGTTTCAAATTAATAGGTCAAAATAAGGTAGTAATTTGATTTTAAATACTCTCCTACGTTGACTTTTGGTGTGTCGTGGCTTGATTCTATGATGTCCCTTGTTTTCGTTCAGATTTGCCATAAATTAATAGCTTCAAATAAGATTATTATATGTTATTGGTTACGTCATAAATTATGTCTGCTAGATCGAACAAGTACATTAAAGCCTATAAACTCACATTAAATTTTGTCAAAAGAAATTTCACGAAATCTTAAACTAACAACAGAACTTGTGTAAATCTAAATATAGATTATGATGCTAAAATAATCGAGGAAATAGAAACAACTAAATTTATTGGCCTGCAAATTGACAACAAATTAGACTCAATACATTATCCGTAAACTAAACTCGGCATGTTTTGCTACGAGGACAATTGCAGCACTCATGAAAACAGAAACTTTAAAATTAGTTTATTTTGCTTGCTACGATTCCATCCTGGCATACGGAATCACTTTCTGGGGAAATTCAATGAACAGCAAAAAAGTATTTTACTTTGAAAAGAGGATAATTAGAATAATGGCAGGCAGTAAAAGGAGAGCCTCTTGTAGGGAATTGTTTAAGAAGTTTTAATATTCTTCCACTACCCAGTAATTGTTTAAACCAAAGTTAAAAGAGTATCTCCTATCTCACTCCTACTCAGTAGAAGAATTTACATTGCTCAAAAAGTCTTAACTGTTATAAATGCATGTAAGCAACAATGATGATGGTTTCTGATCTTTATTATTTTGCTGTAATACTGTGGTTTCAAAAACTGTAAATAGCTGTTATAACTAAATATTTATATTTGTACTAGAACTGTTCTACATCCTTGGCTTATGCCTTTGTAG